GACATTTGCATTTAGGATTTAATTGCATTATTTTAGGATTAATTAGTAGTTACGTTGTTTTTTTTAAAAACAAAATATAAAGAAAATAACAAAAATAGTTCATTTTGCATTTTTAATTGTTAATGTTGAATTTGTCATGAGTTTACTTTTAAATGGGACTTAATCAATTTTTAGGAATTAATTAGCTTAACTTTGGAAATAAATTAGATTTTTATTTTAATTTTGCATTGTAATAAGATCAGAAAAATACAAATACAAAATGAAAACCAAAAAAAAAAGAAATAAAAGAAAACAATTAAAAAGAAGGTATTGGGCCATGTTAGTTAATTTTGCCCAGCCCAAACACAAAAACAAACACGCCCGAACCAGCCCAACCAACATTCCCACCCGGTCCGTCTCCAACATAACCAAAACGACGCCGTTTAATCGTCTCAAATCCTGGCCGTCGAGGTTGATCAATCGGACGGCTCATAACTGGGGACCTCTTGATATATAACTGTCCTAAACGACCCCCCCCCCCTATCGTCTCCCGTCTCTCATACCCTCCCAAACCCTAGAGAAGCTCTGCTGCCCTGATACACTCCGTCAAAATCCGCCGGCGGCGGCGACTAAAACCACTCCAATCGACGCCAAAAATACACCTCTTAACCTCCTCTTCCCCCTCATCTCAAATCCACCTGTATCTTCTTTCAAATCCCCACCAAAGTCTCTAACTCTACCAAACCCTAGGCGCCGCCACCACCGTGCACGGCGGCGCCGCCACCTTAAACCCTCCAAATCACATCAAATCAACATCATGTGATCTCCTCGTTCCCCTCATGATGAATCCACTTTCAGTTATGTTCAAATTTTGCCGGAGTTGTTCAAATTTTGAATCTAAGAGGCGGCAGAACCCTAAGACTCCACAAGTGAGTTTTTCCTCGTACTTCTTCAGTAATTTCTCCCTCTAAACTGATATTTCTTCCTGACTAGTCAATTTAGGGTTTGATTTCTATTTTTTTTTCTCATTTTTGTTTCAATTCGCCTGAACCAGTGTTCAGTATGTGGATCTTTTATTTGCTTTTCTGTTAATCAATAGTAATAGTCTGTCGTTTGCTAATATTAGTTGTGATTTGAGTTCTTTAAAATTAGGGTTAATCATGTTCAGGATTTAGTTTACATTTTCCAGTTTTGCTTAAATTTTCTTCATGTATGATTTAAGTTTATAATATTAGTTTGATTTTGTGCCTTTTTTTAAGTCTTGATGGTCTTTAATTGGTCCTGCTTGGGCACTGTTTGGTTTTGGTTTGTTTAACTAGTAATCCTATATTAGTTAGTTAATTAGTTTAGTTTAGTTCATTTCAATTTAATCAGTGGTTGTTCTTTAGTTCCGTGTTTGTTTACAAATAATCCTTAGGCTTAGTTTAGATTAGTTTGGTTATAGCTGATAGTTCAACTAGTGTTAGTAATTTAGGGTTGAATTCAAGGGTAGCTTAGACATTTAGGATCGGATAGCACATGGTAGTTGAAACTAGACTCTTCTAGAACCTTCCAAAGTAGGACTTTAGTGTAATTTCAGTAATTGTAGTGTATTAACTTGTGACACAAGTCAAAAAACAAGAGGTTAAATGAGTAAATAAGGAAGGACTAAAAAGAAAACTAAAAATCTGAAAGCTGCCCCACTTTTGCCTATAAAAGGCAATGTATTCTGCCTTAGAGAACAAGTTTTGGAGCCTAAAAAAGTTCCCCCCAAAAAGTATTCTCCCAGCTTTCCAGATCTGAAAAATTAAAATTCAAAATTCAAAAACAAAAACAATAGAAACCTTCAAAAATCCAAAAAAAAAAACTGTTCCATTAGATAATTCAGGTTAATTTTGACTTTTAGTTATTGATTTCCATTTTTCTAGTTCAATACTTGGATTCTGAAACTTCAGGTGTTCACTGGTCTGATTTTGAGCAATTTTGGGTCTGTTTAAACTGGTTTTGGATGAGTTTTGGATCTGCTGAAGTATTCTGGTGCATTTCGAGCTTATTTGAGTGCATTTCAAGTGGTCTTTGGGTTGATTTGTTAGTTTCTGCTTGATTGTTGAATATTTCTGGATTTCTGAATCCATTCCTGGGCTGTTCGTTATTCAATATTGCTGGAAATTGTTTATTACTGCTGCTGCTCGATCACTGTTTGGCTGACCTCTTCTCCTCCATTTCTATTCTATTTCCAGGTATTTTTCAGCTCCAATTGATGTGTGAAGGACTGAAACAGTCAACGTGAATTGAAGAAATAAAATCTGGCTTGTGATATCAATTTGTTTGTAGTTATGATAGTTTAATTGTATCTACACAGTAGGTGTAGTGGAGAGTTAAATGAATGGAACACCTTACAATTTGTAGTAAGTGGACTATGTAACTATTACTCTTTCGGACTTGTATTGTGAGTTGAATGCCTGATTTAGTCTTGTAGTTGTAAAAATAGGTTCAAAATGGTTGTAAGTTTCAGTAGCTAATTCCAGTTAGTTTTGTAGTTGTAAAAAAAATAGGTTCAAAATGGTTGCAAGTTTCAGTAGCTAATTCCAGTAATCCAAGTCCAAAATATCGAAATCACTTGAGTGTTGAGATCTGGTTTAGTAGTGTTAATTTGAGTTAGCCAATAAGTTGTTATTACTGTTGCTAAAGTCGAACCATGTTTTAGTCTGATTTTCATTTGTAGTGATATTTAGGAACTCACTAATAGGTAAATAAATAGGACAATCCGAGTTGGAACTGGAATCCAAATGATCAATGCTTCATTCGTTTGAGTAGGTGAATGTTGTTCTTCCTTATTACAATTGTTGAGTGCACTTTGAATAACTTGAAGCAATCTTGGTGCATATTTTCTCAAATTGAGTTAAAATTTGGTTTAGTTTAACAATCAAAGCTTAACAGTCCACCTTCGGACAATTTGGGCTTCAGCACTTTTAACAGATGGCCCAGGCAGTCCAGTTCTAGTGCAAGTAAAATCTGGGTCGGCCGCCCTTCCTATTGGGCCAATGTCATGGAATTGGCTGAATTTCAGCCCTTTGGTCCTAAAATCGTTAGGTTCGGACAAAAATAATTAATTAATTAATTAGGACCTTTCCTTTGTTTTTAGAGACAATACATGATAGAAAATTGTAGATTACTTTAGGTTTGCCTTTTAATAATAAAACGAGATGAGCCTCGCTAAACAAAACAAACAAATTGCAGGGCCCTCGATAAATGTTTATACAACAATACTTAGACTTCGGGATGAGCCGTTTAGTGAATTTCACGGCTTTCCCCAAAGATAATAACGCGTTAGCCTCTTTAAGCGCGTCTTTTAATAACATTACCTTCCTAAACTCGGGTACGCATTTATGTGACCCAAATCCAAATCTCAACGAAGTTAAAATGTGTCAAAAATCGCGGGTGCATTTATGTGACGCGGTTCGAGACATATTTTCACGACGTTGCAATCCTCTTTAAAATAATAATAATAATAAAAGCGGTTAAAAGCACATAGACTAAAACATGTTGTAAAATCAGATAAATAAGCCAAATATGACAGTTGAGCGACCGTGCTAGAACCACGGAACTTGGGAATGCCTAACACCTTCTCCCGGGTTAATAGAATTCCTTACTCGGATTTCTGGATCGCGGACTGTTAAACAGAGTCATAATTTCCTCGGTTCGGGATTCAACCGGTGACTTGGGACACCATTAATCTCCCAAGTGGCGACTCTGAAATCTTAATAATAAATCCCGTTCCGATTGTCCTTTAAGAAACTCCTTTTATTATACCCTCCACGGGGGTGTAGTAGTGAAAAAGGAGGTGTGACATAATAGACTAAGTTAAAATTGATCTTTCATTGTATATAGGTTGATTTTGAAGAAAAATATGTTCGTCATGCTACTAAAAACTTAGATACGCCGAATAACTTCTATAATAGTACACATATGGTATATAGAAGTTTTGACAATAACGTCATACAAGAAAAAATTATGATACTGGTCAATGTGCTTCTAAGTATATTCGTATCCCTGAATTCAACTTACGTTTTCCAAAACTAAGGAATTTCCTTTTAAATTTGTGTGAAAATAATTTTTAGTATGTTTATGTTTTGCAATAATAAATAAAGCACAAGGACAAACATCCTAAATATTGGACTATATTTACCATAATATGGTTCCTTGCATGAACAACTGTATGTTGCACTTTCAAGAGGGATATCAAGTTCGACAACAAAAGTTCTGGTTAAGGCAGAGCAACCAAAGCATTAGGAGAAAACATACACAAAAAAATATTGTCCACCCAAAGAAGTGCTCGTTAAGATACCATCACATTAAATACTTTTAAACTATAACATACACAAAACTATAATTATCTAACTAACATGAAAAAAATTGATGATTTGTGTAAGTTTTGATGATGTTCTTTTATATTAAATTCATGTATTATGCTAATGTAATAATAATTATCGGCATTTACATGATTGTTGTATTATTATACATAAAATTTCTCTCATTAATTAAATTGTATGTTCCTTCATATAAATAAATATTAAAATCATTACGTGCCATTATTAACGTGCAACGCATGACCATACATACTAATTTATCATAATGTTCAAGACTTTAGTTGTATGGCTTGCAAATAGAAAGCTGTATTTCCACAATGTAGACTTTGACTTTGATTTTTAGGAAAGTTTCAGCCGATTAAGAACGTTTCTCATTAGGACTAAGGAAATTGTGCACGATTCTCTTACTCCCCTTTGTTTCAATTTGTTTGAACCTTAAATTACTAGGGTCAAATTGACTAATCACTATTTGAATTTTGACATAGATTTTTTAAGTTTTTTTTAATTTTTTTTACATATTTATAAACTACTTAAAAAGTATTATTAAGTCATAATAGTTAACAGCTCAACATATTTAATAACTATTTGCAAGAAATATGATCAAAAGAATCTTGTTTAAAATAAAAAGTTCATTCTTTTTGAAAGAGAAAGTATCATTTTACTGTAATAACATATCTATAATTGAGATTATTTCTTCTATATACATAGGAAGGGTGTATTGGAATTTACATTATAAATAAGGGGTAAAAGGGCAGGAGAATTAGGTTAATGTAAATCAAGAATTCTCAAAGTTTATCCTCCTGTGATCTCTCCAAAACAAAAATGTTGCCCTTGTCATCTCTGCCTATCCTCAAATTCTCATCAACATATCTGCATTTTTCAGATTAAGGATAATAGATTTTCAACTCTACGTACCATTTTAAGTTAGCAACGTAAAATACATACTAATAGAAAATAAAAAAGAAAATAAATTGTAATAAGAGCTTAAAATTAGTGAATAAAGGATACGTAATCTCAAGCCAGCCTTCTGGGTTGAAGATGCCAAGAAGAAGATCGTAGTTCTTCTGAAACACGTTCATCAACTGTTCCAATTTCAAGCATAAAAATTTATTATTAGCTTTTTTCCCTCTTTCTTTCCTGAGAAAATATTTGTAAACTAATTTAATGTATAATTCCTCCGTAAAAAAGATGTCATGATTTTCCCTTTTTTTGAAAGGATAATTGTACTAACTTTTTTTGAAGGATGATAGAAGACAGGACAATTGAGTTTATGAGAATAATTTTATAACTAAAAACTTACACAAAATTAACAAATTCAGAGCATTCCAATTTACAAATGTTTGTGTTAAGATTAATTATATCTATTTTTCATTACTTAGCCTAGGTCATTAGCTAGTTAGTTAGCTTAGATTAGTGGTTAGAGTGGTTAGTTAGTGACAGTTGTCAGTTAGCTGGTTTTGCTTGTTACATCCATGTATATAGTGGGAAGAGCTCCACTCAGTTGCTCACTTGTATGAATTGAATGAAATATTTTTCTAATATATCTTCTCCTCCGTCCTCTCTCTGCATTCATGGCGTAGGAACTAATCTCTTCTACCATTGAAGCTCGAGCTGTCTATAACTCAATTGAAGCCAAATCACTGTTACATTGCTGGATTTTGATATGGTATCAGAGCGAGGCCACAGGTTCTGATTCATTCCTTCAAAATTGTTAGATCTAAATTCATTAGCTTCAATTTCAACTCTGATCGCACGCATGCAGAATCTCTTCTCATCAATTTGAGTCATAGCCTTTGAATTCTATGTCAGAGCCCTAGATCTGTAGTTATGATCCTTTATTGTTTGATTAGCTAAAATTTGTATCTTATACGAGATGGTTACCGTCGGAGACGATGAGCAATCTGCACCGACCATGGCAGAATCCCCTAATCAGTCAACTATTGACACTAGTAGTCCCTTTTATATGCATCCTTCTGATAATCTGGGAGCATCATTAGTTCCTATTCCATTTGATGGTTTTGGTTACCGTTCATGGAGAAGAGGTGTGATGAGAGCCCTATTAGTGAAGAACAAGCTGGACTTCATCAATGGGGATTGCAAAAGACCAGAACTAGACTCTTCAAACTATCGATTGTGGGAAAGGTGTGATGATTTGAAGCTCTATACTCTAATCACACTTGGGATTTGCTAGCTCTACCACCTGGGAAGCAAGCAATAAGGTGCAAGTGGGTTTATAAGGTGAAGCATAAAGCTGATGGTAGCATAGAAAGATTCAAATCCAGGTTGGTTGTCAAAGGCTATACTCAGCAAGCAGGAATTGACTATACAGAAACATTCACACGTGAAAATGACAACAATAAGAGCACTGATTGCTACAGCAGTGAAGAAAGGGTGGTGTATATCTCAGCTAGATGTAAACAATGCCTTCCTCCATGGGGACCTTAATGAGGAAGTGTATATGCAAGTTCCACCTGGACTTGTTGTGGATAAGCCAACACTGGTTTGCAAGTTAAACAAAACTTTCTATGGCCTAAAATAGGCCAGCCGACAGTGGTATGAAAAACTGACTGAAGCTTTATGTTCAAAAGAATATATACACTCCATGAATGACTACTCACTTTTCTATAAAAAAGATGGAAAATCCTCAGTATATGTTGCAGTATATGTAGATGATGTGCTGCTTACTGGAACTGATCAGGAAGAGATCATACAATTGAAGAACTTCTTGCATGAGCAGTTTAGGATCAAAGACCTAAGCCAACTACATTATTTTCTGGGATTAGAGGTGATGTACAAAGATGATGGTGCCATAATCTCTCAAAGGAAATTTGTATTGGACATGCTGAAGGAGTACAATTGCCTAGATTACAAGCCTTGTTCTTCTCCCTTGGATCCTACCATAAAACTAAAGGCCAAAGAAGGTACCATCTACAAGATCCTACTTACTATAGAAAGCTGGTGGGGAAACTAAATTTCTTTACCAATACTAGGCTGGATATTGCATATAGTAACCAACACTTGAGTCAGTTCATGCAAGAGCCCAGAGAACCTCATTTGAAGGCATCATTCCATCTACTCAGGTACTTGAAAAATGATCCTACCCTGGGAATCTTCATGTCTAAGGATGCAGATATCACAGTCAAAGCCTACTGTGACTCTGATTGGGCAGCCTGCCCAGACTCCAGGAGATCCATTAGGTTATTTGGTACTTCTGGGCAATAGCCCTATCAGCTGGAAGTCCAAGAAATAGGAAACTATATCACTGTCTTCTGCAGAAGCAGAGTACATGGCTTTAAGGAAACTAGGTGGGGAATTGGTATGGTTGAGCAGACTGTTTGAGGAGCTGACTGTCCCTTTTCCAATGCCTATTTCAGTGTTCTGTGATAGCCAATCTGCACTTCACATTGCCAAGAATCCAGTCTTCTACGAAAGAACCAAGCACATAGAAGTGGATTGTCATTTTGAGCGTGATCAATTACAAGCAGGACTAGTTTCACTTCATCATATTAGGACAGACAGTCAACTAGCCGACATTCATTCTGACAAAGCTTTAACTGGAATCAAACATAGAGCCACGTTGGGCAAGTTGGCTGTGTTTACCACACCTCCATCTTGAGGGGGGGGGGGGGGTTGTTAAGATTAATTATATCTATTTTTCATTACTTAGCCTAGGTCATTAGCTAGTTAGTTAGCTTAGCTTAGTGGTTAGAGTGGTTAGTTAGTGACAGTTGTCAGTTAGTTGGTTTTGCTTGTTACATCCGTGTATATAGTGGGAGGAGCTCCGCTCAGTTGCTCACTTGTATGAATTGAATGAAATGATTTTCTAGAGTGTTCATTCCTCTCTCTCTATCTTCTCCTCCGTCCTCTCTCTGCATTTTCATAGCGTATGAACTAATCTCTTCTACCATTGAAGCTCGAGCTATCTATAGCTCAGTTGAAGCCAAATCACTGTTACATTGCTGGATTTTGATAGTTTGTACTTGCTTTTAGTGGAAGATAATCCGCACCTAATGTTTACATCAAATCTAGCAATTAATCATAAGTCATATATTAAAATGAAAAATACATTATTACTTAACTATGTAACATATATGTCTTGCATTCATTTGTTTGGTACAAACATAATGTGCATATAACTTTTTCATCGTCCTAGCTCTATCAATTTTAAAAGAAAACTTCGGTAAAAATGACACTGTATAGCCGCTTTTGAAATAATAACCGAAAAATATATAAGTTTTTGTTATATATATATATATATATATATATATATATATATATATATATATACAAATTTAATGCATTTTTGCTACTACGAAATATAAATAATTTCGGCCGCGAGCTAAAAATTGCTTTTTGACCAAAACTCTGTGTAGTTATTTGGAGAATGATATTTCTAATTTTGCCCCTAGAAAACTAATTGGAATTACCTTTTCGCAATGAAGGAAACACTGTTAATTCATACCTGGTCTGGTGTTATTGCAGAATTGTTGTAGAAAATGTCAACTCTCTACATTGAAAAAAATCAAATTAAAAACCATAAAGAGGAAATTTAAAAAAAAAAAAAAAAGAAAAAAAAAAAAAAAGAGCATCTGAAAAAAAAAGTAGAGAAATCTCAACTGATTTGGATGCAATCCTGAAGATGGCTTCGATCCTTAGCTCTCCACTCAATAAACTTAATCCTCTCGCATTAAAATTTATTACAATCACAGCTTTTCCCTTCATTTATCATCATCGAAACATTTTGAATTAGTCCAAAATGACAAAACAACAAATAAACAGTAATAATCTGTAATATATCATGTTGCAGATATACAAATTTCTTAACTATATACTCCATTTGTTCCTAACAAATTCCAAATTTTCATTTTATAGTTATACCCAGAAGAGGAAAATTTCTCAAAGATGAGAAAATTGTTAAACATTGTAAGATTTTAATTTCTCATGTTGCTATGTAGCAATAAAGAGTTGAGATGGAAAAAACCTAAGTATGTTTTTACAGTGCACTTTTTCAGGAAAGGGTGGCAATAAATAGTTTTATCTATTAAATTATAAAAAATAAAAAAAATAACTCCTTTATCTTTTTATGACCCAATAACAAATTGCTCTAAATAACTCCCCAAAAAGTGAAGTTTTGATCAAATGTAATTGGAAAAAAAAAAAAAAAAAAGTTTAAACCATATTGTGAAACATACCTCAGAAATATCAATATTCTGATATAAATCCCCCAGTGTAATAAAATCTCTCAATCCTAGTTTTGTTCTTTTTGATCCTAAAATACTTATAGTACTGTATATAAGCTTCCAACTTCCAGCCACCTATTCAGTTCCAAGAGTTCCAAATCATTAATTATTTCACTCAGAAATGAACAGTAATTTATAGAATTCAACTTGAATTGTATGGAACAAAAAAAAATATTTATTATGGCATGGCACACTACCACATCACCTTATCTAGAGATAAGGTTGGTTCAGGAGTTGGATTTTGAGACTCCAGTTGCTTGACCAGCTCTTCAATTTCAGATTTTTTGTGAGATGACGCTCCAAATATTCCTCTATTAATTCCTAAAAGAATATTTTCGACAAAACAAATATAAATACAAATGAATATATTGATAAACTAATAAACACAATATGTTATTGTGATATCGTAAATTTCATTCATAGGCTAGAAAGTGGAGCCAGAATTATGAGTGTATGGGTTTTGGAATGTTAAGTTACTAGGTTCGGGATATTTAGTAGATTTGTTAATACAAATACAAGGTGTGAACTGAAATTATTGTGTTGTACTGAATTACACTTGTAGCTCCGCCACTGTATAAGGGGGTGGGTCAGCACTAAAGGTAGAAAGAATTGAATGGACAAATTACCTTGAAGTGCATCATAAAGTTCAATCTTGATTTGGGAAGCATCAGTTGATACATTCTGTTGTTCTGCAGCTTTATTATTTAGAGAAATGGTCCTTTGTGCAAATGACCAATCCCCAAATCTTGAAATTTTCTTAAAGTTTAATCTTGGACTAGTGGCTGAGACGGTATTTCTTTGACTTCTCAGTATTTCAATGGAGTTTGGTGATGGAGGAGACAGGTGTGAAACTGTGATTTGAGGCTTTACTACAAGTTTTGTGGCCATTGGACTAATCAGATTAATGGGGTATAAGGTTCTGCTCTTTTTTATTTAGGCCTTTTGGGAAGAAGACCAAGTAAAGACATAAAGAATGTGGTTTTGCCAAGAGATGTCTATCTTGTCCTTGTGGTAATGTTTGCCATAGCTCTTCCTTGGATTTGTTGCTTTTTCAATTAAATATTTTTATTTTTGAAAACTGTGGTGTCTTGTCATTTTGCGAATATCATAATTATATTTATCAAATAAATGTTATCTTCGGTGTTTATTATTTATTATTACATGCTGTTTTCTTGTTTCGATTCTATTTTTCTGGTTGTTGTTGCTATTTTGTTTAATGTGGTTCTCTATCATAACTGTAGTGATTTTGCTTTGTTGAATTGAGGGTCTCCCGGAAAACAACATCTTTACCTTCATTAGGTACGAGTAAGGACTGCGCATATACTACCCTCCTTAGACTCCACTTATGAGTTATCGTTAAATTGTTACTCCCTCCGTTTCATATTGTTTGAGGTAGTTTGACTCGGCACGGAGTTTAAGAAAAAAGAAGAAAACTTTTGAAAGTTGTGGTCTTAAAAGCTTAAGGGGTAAAAGGTTTGTGGGGCCATGCCATTTGTGTGGCTATAAAAGCTTCTCATTAAGGGCAAAAAGGATAAAATGAAGAGTTTAAAGTTGAATTATTTCCAAATTTAAAAATGTGTCATTTATTTTGGAAGTAAAAAGGAAAGTACCTCATTTAATATGAAACGGAGGGAGTACTACTCCCTTCGGTCCAAAATAAGTGATTTTTTGGATGTTTTCACACAGATTAAGAAATTCACCTTTTAGCATTAATTAGCAATAGAATTGACCATATTAACCTTTACTATCTCACATAAACACTCCTAACACATATTCCAACACTATTTACTCCAAGGACAATGGAAAAAAATAATTAATTAATTCTTGAAATCTGGAAAAATCACTTATTTTGAACCACAAGAAAAAGGCCAAAAAATTACTTATTTTGGACCGGAGGAAATATCTTTTATCATCAAAGTTATCAAGTAAGTTTGACACTAATATTGATCGATAAGTTACGAAGTTATATAGCAACTTTGGACTTAAATTTTGCATTCTTCTGAGTTTTGGATTTCCAAGTACTCCACTAAACAACATACTAGTGTGGTACACACATTCTTAATTAATTGCAACCTGTAATTTTATATAGTTTGTTGTAGTTCCCTTTTTTGACCAGCAGCAACTGTATAAAAAGTGCTGGCCACATGATTCATTTATTTATAGTGTCTCTTTTCATTTACAGATCTATGGCCTCATAGCCTTGCGTATTTATTCTTATTTAAGATAGAGTTGTAAAAATATGTTTTTGCTCTTTTTAAAATTCTAAAATCTAAACAATTAATTTGGCTTGATAAATCGATTTTCTACATGTCTTTCTACTTATTGGCTTTGGCAAAATTTTAAGCTCATACTGAAAATCAGTACAGTTTATTTTTATGCAGAAAAATCGGGCATTTGCATCTATACCCGCTTTTTGTGTCACATTTTAACTTGTGCCGGCTTTGCAAAAAAAATTGCAAGCGTACCCGCATTTTCGCATAACTTCAGCACACAGGGCTGAAGTAGCAAAGGCAATCAAGCAAAACATCAGTATTCTAGTAGTCGGGCCTGAAATTCAGCTCTAGAGCTGAAGTTTTTATTTTGTAACTAGCGAACTTCAGCTCTAGAGCTGAAGTTTTTGTGTTGTAACTGGGAAACTTCAGCGCTAGAGCTGAAGTTTTTGTGCTGTAACTGGAAACTTCAGCTCTATAGCTGAAGTTTTTGTGTTGTAACTGGGAAACTTCAGAGCTGAAGTTTTTGTAGAGCTGAAGTTTTCTTAAAAGCGATCCTTTTTTCCTCTTGAATGTATGCTTTCACTGCAGCTATTGTATCCTCTGGTTCAACCATTACGACAAGCACGACCATCTTTAGTTCTGTGATTACTTGTAAACGTATTCGAATTTCTCTTTACATTTCTTGGCACTTCTATGATAACCAAGGTCAGCCAATTTCCTGCACATAACAATGAAAACAATTGGAACAAAACAAAGATACAAATCTAACTAATACCTCATCTTATCTTGTAGAGTATTCATTGTATTCTTAATAAAAACAACATCTCATACTTGTGTTTACCACATAAAGATTAAAACTGGAAAAAAAGGTTAACTTTTGGACTAAAACTAATAACTGGAAAAAAAAAAAGAAGAAGAAGAAGAAGAAGAATACGAAGGAGGAGAAGGAGGAGGAGAAATGAGGTGAAGTTGTTTAAAAAGTGGATACAAGTTAAAAGTTTTAAAAAAAAATAGGTATAGATTAAATGGGGGCGACCAAATAGGACGCCCCGTGCAATTTTTACAAGTAAATCTTCTTTGATTTTTGGAAATTTCATTTAAACACGACACGTCCTTTCGAAAATTTTTATTAAGTTTTGCTACTTTATGGTGTGAGCTCTTTGTGTCCTCCTCTGCCTTTGATTCTTTTTAATTCATAAACTACTAAATAAAATATATTGCTGAGAACCTTTTGATACTCTTACCTCTATCTATTGCTTGTTAACATGGTTCAATGCATACATCAAGTTCAAGTAAGGTGGTTTTTGTTGTAATTTCAAATCTTTGTTATTTTGATTTTTCTGTAACGAAAGCTGAAGAGAAAGATAAATTTATCCAGAATTCTTAACAATGGAAAAAAGGAAGATAGTGGAAAAAACGTGAAGTCGAATCCTTCTCCTTGCTTCAATTATGCTCTTGCCTCCCCAAAGTCTTCTATCCCCTCAAAAAGTGGCTAATTCTCATATTTATATGGTTTATGGTTGAGTTGGGGCGAAATTGGCTTCTCCTAATTCGGATTGGAGAAGCTGATTTTTTTTCTGCTCCGGTACCCGTCTGGAGAAGCGAACCTCACTTCACTGTCCAAGATTTTTCTCTTCAGCTTTTCTTTTGCCAATTTTTCTCCTATTTGACCCTTTTCGGCGTAAGTTCGTCCCACACATAAAAAACACGTAATAAGCGTATTTTCACTTCAAAAGCAGTGTAAACTCCCGCAACTCACATAATGCAAATTGTATACGGGTGAAACCGAGCCCTTTGGACGCCTCGGTTCTCGATGAAGTAAACGGAGCAGAAATATGACCGAATGGAACCGGAATCGCGGCAAGGAGCCCTTCGAGTCGAGGTTCGGGCAAAAACACCTGCCCTTGGAGGAATCGGGGCCACGCCCCCCAGGTCCGATTCTAATTCCTAAACTTCGGAGAACGTTATCAGATAATCGAACACGACTTACAAAGGACCGTGATATCCGTGCCCAGCCAGATGTCAAGACATGAATCTCGGCACGAATTGTCACGACCCAAAAATCCCTCCAAAGGAATCGTGATGGCACCTAGTCTCTAAACTAGGTAAGCCTAACATTTTCTGTAATAACATGGATATTTACTAACTTTAAATTAAATTACTCGGACAAATTAAAATTTCCAAAACCGGTGGTACAAGTCATAAGCCTTTCTAAGAGTAGTTATCAAAATAAATACAATAGTGTTCCAGAACGAGAAGGAATCAATGGAACGTAAATACAAACGGAGGTGACTCCGAGGCCTGCGAACGTAGCAACAGTTACCGTGAGTCTCCACCGCGACGACCCGCATAGCTACTATCGATCAATACCTGGATCTGTACACAAAAATGTACAGAAGGGTAGTATGAGCACACCACGGCGGTGCCCAATAAGTATCAAGACTAACCTCGGTGGGGTAGTGACGAGAAACAGTCAAGACACCTACTGGTTAAAAGAAATGAACAAGATATGATAGTAAAATATCGAGATAAAGATAACGAGATAATATCAACATCGGAGAGAAAACAAAAATACAAACAGTAGGAACAATAAAGGGAGAACACGGGTAGTAACGAACGATACCCAAGTAAATCAGATACCCAAGTAAATCAGATAACCAAGTAAATCAGATAACCAAGTAAATCAGATAACCAAGTAAGTCAGATAACCAAGTAAGTCAGCTAACCAAGTAAATCAGATAACCAAGTAAATCAACACTGACATAACAGGAAAAAACACAAGTAAGAATGTATTCAAATAAAGAAGGCAAGACCAACTCAATCAATCACATCATGTCTAATACACAATCCCGACCATCTCAATCCTCGATTTCTTATATCATGATTCCAACTTCCGAACCTTCAGCACACACGGCAGCTTGTGCCCCCACATTTTCCATCTCACTTTTAACAACAAAATCCACATGCTATACTATACATAATGTTCGTACAAATACACTCAAGATGTTCAAGAAGTCTCATTTACCTAGTATAAGTAAATTACAATTTCTAAACTAATTAGAAAAGTCAACGAGAAAAGATGAGGTTGTTTCTTTTGAAATCATTTGAGTAAAGAAAGTACCCCTTTCAATTAAAATACAACATCGACTGGATTATTACCTTTAACATGGGAGTTAATAACTTAAAACTTAGTAGAACTTCCGTTTTAAGTAAATACGACCTCAGACGGTTTAAGGGGATATAATTGAGAAACTAATTGAATTAAAGATGTAATAATTTTTGAAGTTTGATGTATTGGAATGTGTATATATATATATATATATATATATATATATATATATATATATATATATATATATATATAAAAATACGGTGAGTTATTGAAAACACTCTAGGTTTTAACACAAAGGATCACAACAATAAAGGAAATTAATGGTTTAAACACTTGAATTGATAATAACAAATAAACACAACAGCAGAAAGTGCACGGCATCACCCTTCGTGCTTTTACTCTCATTATCACCATAAGAATCAATATTCACTTTTACTCTTCCTTCTTGCGGCGTGCAACCCGATCCCAATCATATAGTACTATTGCGGCGTGCAACCCGATCCGAATCATATAATATTGTTGCGGCGTGCAACCTGATCCAAATCATATAATATTGTTGCGGTGCGCAACCCGATCCAAATCATATAATACTGTTGCGATGTGCAACCCGATCCAAATAATATAATATTGTTGCGGCGCGCAACCCGATCCAAATCATATAATATTGTTGCGGCGTGCAACCCGATCCAAATCGTATAATATTGTTG